GAGGAGTGAAAAAAGTTGAAAATGGTTGAAAAATAAAACATGTGCTGTGATACAGGGCAATGCGCTGCGGCTCATACACTCTGTGTTGTGACATGTTGCTCTCTATGCCACGCCCCGCTGCTCAGGCGCCATGCACTGCAGCGTGTTGCATAAAACTTCTACTGATTTTGCTGTCATTTGACAACAAAATTGAGGAACTTTCGACTCGTCCCCATTCTCCGTCTGATATCCAAATGAAGCAATCTAGGTATTTACAGAAAGCTCTTTATATGAACTAGCTAATAGCATGGGTTTCACTTTCAAAAATAAGTCACACTAAAAAGTTGGACACCCAAACACATTTTAACTATTTTTCGACACTTTTACACAAGATGGTATCTAAAACCCTCAACAAGTGTCAAAAGAATTTCCTAACATCTAGACCATGTCCAATGGCTTTAGGACTACCAGCATAACACGTCACAAGTACCGAAACATTAGTATAATAAAAATTTACTCCTCAACCCCATTTTACCAAAAAAGGGGAGGTAATTTGTCATTGCATCTTGCCCAGATCATTCAAAACATGTTCAAATCATTATTTCTACACTTGCACTAGTATTTTGGCCCTATAAACATATATATATATATATATATATCTCAACATACACAAAGACTAAGGACCCAAAATATAAATCTAACATTTCCAACAATAAAATAGTGCAAGTGTGGTGGCATGCATCCTAGAATTGGAAAACATATACTATTACACAAAATAAATCTAAGCCAGAGGCATATAGTATGAATATGTTAATTCCTAGCCTCTTGAGCCTTCTCCCTCTTTGCACAAGAGCTAGAGCCTGAAAAGTATTAATTAAGAGGGGTAAGTCTAGCCATTCAGTAACCAAAGTTAAACCTACCCTATGCAGTTATATATTAATTATAAACCAAATACATGCACGAAGAAATAAAATATATAAGACATGCTAGCATATATCATATCTTGTCATTTATCATTGAATAACTTCTTTAACTCTCATAACTAGGTGCATTATCACCATATTTTCAGATATGTGACATGACTCATACTCGTTCGACTTGCCACCACTTATCACTTGTGACATGTCATATATTTACTTAGATAATGATCAACCAACTTTATATCCTCTTTATTTCCTCAGACCGAAACTATGGGCTATAACATTAATTAGGGCTCCATCTATATGACTGGACTATCCAAGCTCACCAATAATGAGGTGTGACTAGCCAAAGATCACAGGACTCACTCTCAGACCACGGTTAACCCTATTCTCGAATCCTTAGGGTGTCTCATACCCTATGTTATTCTCCTCATTGAACCGATGGAGAGATAGTTAGGTTCTAGTCCCTCGACAAACTATGGGACAGTCCCTCGACAAACTGTGTGACAAGGCTATACCCCTGTGTACCGAAAGGCAGCCTAATTGCCATATGGATTTTCTCTACTCCCAATCCTTAGGCGAACTCCTGCCACTAATCATGCCATAAAAAATACTCACTTATTTTCACTTTTTTTTTCACTTTCACATACTCATTTTTACAACAATTACATTGGGCTCATGATCATACACTACCCAAGTGTGTATTATCATCATTTTCTCAAAATTTATTTTTCATTAACACACAAATACCTCTACACGTCATCACATTCATTTGCTAAAAACCTAAGCATATTCATAGTTAAAATCCTATTGACTTTGCATTTTACATTTTTAAGCCAAAAATAGCTTTTCCATGCACTCATTGAAACTAATATATAGTTTTTACTTTAAAAATCAATCACATGCATGTAACATTCATAATTCACATTTAATGACTAATTAACAATAAATTAACATATAACTACTCAAAGTAGAGTTTTCTCCAGTTACCTCAAACCTTTGAGAGATCAAAGGATTACCCCCTTAATCAACTAGCTTTCAAACTTGAATTTTCAATGCAATAGGTGATCAAGAGCCAAAATTACAATCAACCAAGTTAAATTTCATCAACATTACCAATCCAAGCATGTAAACTCTTAATTTCTACTTTTAAATTGCCCCATGTTCACTCTACATGAATTGGAGTCTATCTATTAGGTTTTATAATTTCCTTTAGCCCCCAATAGTATTAATAAGCCATTAAATCATCATTAATGGCATCATAAACTTTCAACTACCCATAATAAATGAGATTTTTGGATATTAATGGTACTCAACAATCCAAGACACCAAAACTTATTATACCTAGGTTTAGACATTCTAATTTATCCCGATTAACTTCATTTGAGTCAACAAATTCAGACCCATAACTTATAAGGACTGAAATTCTACTTCCACTATCAAATCCTAACAATAAACTCATAAATGTGAAAGAAATGGGGAGATTAATGAGTGTGATACTTACCTTAGGTATTTGTAGCCTTCAAAATACTTCTAAAGTCATCCACAAGTAAATCCTAATAGAGCATTGGCGTGCCTCTTCATTCTCTCTTTTCTCTTCTTTCTATTTCTGTCTCATTTCACGTTTGATAAATTACAGGCATATGGCACAGAGAGGTCCTCCCCTTGCTTAGGAATGTCTGTACACCGCAGGGATGATTTACATGCCACGGCGTGTGGCACAGCAACATTAACTCTTCCTTTTCTTCTCCTTTTAATGCCTAAGTGGCCTGCCTCGATACCAGACCCACAACTAAGGCTGAAATACCATCATGATTATTAGACCTTTCTGGCCACACACTACTTCAACTTACTTAATTATCCTAATTAAATTTAATTAATCAGGGAATTAAAACTTAGGATGTTACAACCTTCGCCTTCCTCTACCACTCTAAAGACTTTTGCTTTATCTATGATGACCCCTTCTTACCTCTTCCCTCTTCACCACTAACCCCACCTCTATCCCAGTCCTTCACTCCACATGCACATATTGACAGTATGTCAGTTGTCTGTGAAAAAATGACTAGCACACTAATAGCTAGCACAACATCATGTGAAAAGCTTTGCATTAGAGAGAGGAGAGGAGGAGCATGTAAGGTTGCTCTTAATAATTCACCCTTAATCCAAAATCCAAAGTAATCATGGAAATAACCCACAAGAATTATCAGGTTTATAAAATTCTTAAGAATGAGATCTTAAGTTTTCACAATTCAAAACACTCAAATTTACTTATATCTTTCAAACATTAGGGTAAAACAACTTTATGGAAGCATGAGAATTCAATTTGTAGTATAGCATTTGCAAACGAAACTGGAAAAACATTATTTCAACAAACAGCAAAGGTGTATCGTGGCATGCTATAGATGTGCCACAGCTCATCTGTCTCTGTGCTATGTGTTGTGGCGCATTACACAAAATCTGATAGCAAATTTGCTATCATAAGACAACACCTGGAGTGAACACATGTGCCCTGATTCTCCATTTGAAACTTGATTGAGGTAATTTAGGTGCTGACAGAAAGCTTTCTTTAAGTTCTAACTAATGGCACTAGTCTCATATTCACGTCATTTTTCAATAAAGAGTTGAACACCCATTTCAAATTTCACTTTTTTATAATATCATTACATAACTTGGGTGTCCAATACTCAAGATAATGCTGTTGAATTGGTGTCTTCCCAGTATTGTTACATTCCATTATTTAATAAATGGCTTAACAAATAATATACTCAGAGCAAGTTTTAATGAAGAAAATGAGTCTAATGATAATGGTAAGTCCTTGATTTTGCATTTCTTTGCAAGGATGATTTTAGATGGATGGAATTGAATTGCTGTTGCTTATAATTCTACAATCATTTGTCTTTGTAAACATGTATGGAATGGTTGATACTGCTCTATCTTGAATTTTATCATTTAATTTTGCCTTTTAAAAATTTTTTTTTATTTATCAATGTATTTTATATTTATAATCTACTTTTTAAAAAATTTAATTGTAAGTTTAATATTATTTTCAAAAAATATTAAATTAGTCACAAAAATATATAAAAGAAAATTCATGTTTTTTTTTTGTCATTATAAATTTCAACTAGCTTTTAAATCAAATCAATAAATTAAATTTCAATTCATCTAATTGACTTCTAAAAAAAGATATATAAATATAAATCATGTTAAAGTCAATAAATTTTTTTTTTACTTTAATTTGTTAACATCAGTTAATTTTAACTGTAATTGTGGTCTTGCAAATTTTTTTAATTCAAACATACCCTTTGTTGGTAGCCCACAATGAAGTTAAACATCTTCCCTGTGCGCGAAGTTAAAACTGAAAGTCTGTTGCTGGGCTTTTTTTTGGGCTGACCCCAATGTAACGCTGGGTTGGATTGATACACTAGGCTAGCTTACATTTTATTTTAATTTTTAAAAAAATTGTTATGGAAACATGACAAAGTTTATTTTGTTATTGATACACAAGGCTAGCCCAGATTTTATTTTATTTTTTTTAAATAAATTGTTATGGGAACATAAACTTATTCTTTTTTGAAAAAGTTCATAGGAATCCTCATCTAATTGAAAATTTGAAATACAGATTAGAAGAAAAGTACTAAAGTGCCTCTTTATTTTCACCCAAAAAAAGAAAAAAAGAAAAAAAGTGCCTGTGTGTTACCGTTTCTTGTTTAGCCACCTTGAAGTAATGAAGAGCCTCCTTATTAACTTTTCTTATTTAGCCCCCACAACGTATATAAAGCAGTGTTGTACCTACTAATCAGTTCACGAACTTGTACTACAACTCATCCATGGAACAAGATAAACAACGAACAAAATCAACAAAATCTCTCAATTATGTGGAGGAAGGAGCCAACAACTTTCCTCTTGTAACTAAGATCAGTCTCAAAACAACAATATCATACATCATAGATTCATCATGATCCCCCCTATTTTTATTATGTCCATTAACAAATACATCAAACCACTTTAACCACTATATTCAGACGCTATAACCCCACAATTTAAAAACTAATACGCCACGTATCTAGGTTCGGTGTCCACACCTGCTCTTGACCGTTGCACCAGACCAAAATTTTAAATTCTTTCCTCCCTCTGCCCCACCACCATTCATCAAATCTGCTCTTCGGCGAAAGCCTTTCTCTCTCTGTCTCTTTCTCTCTCACTCACTAACGACCAAGATTGCTGCGATGGTGTCAAGGAAGAAGAGAACACCGGTGAAATCCATTAAGGACTGCCGCAATGGCCGCAGTCGCCGGCAAAAATCTCCAGTCAAACATGTAGTTACCGCCTCCTCCGTGCTAGCCTCCATCCATCGTCGCCTCTCAAAGTTTTTCTCTAGATTCGCGCGAATCGGCACTCCCAATAGTCACAAGGGATACAAAATTTTAAAGAAAATGCGTTCTGAAGGACAGCATTGCGAAGAATCCTTGAACGACATTCGCAGGACCCTTGTCTTCAACAACCCTCTTCCGCCCCTGATTTCCACCGATAAGAGAACCATCTTTCTTGACCTCGATGAGACCCTCGTCCACTCCAAGACGGACCCACCGCCGGAGAGGTTCGATTTCGTCGTGCAGCCGAGGATCGACGGTGTGGCTATGAATTTCTACGTGTTGAAGCGTCCTGGAGTCGATGAATTCTTGGAATATTTGGCCGCGAAGTTCGAGGTGGTGGTGTTCACCGCTGCCTTGAAAGAGTACGCATCCGTGGTGCTGGACCGGCTTGACCGGAACGGCTTGATTTCCCATCGGCTTTATCGGGACTCGTGCAAGCAAGTGGAAGGGAAGTTCGTGAAGGACTTGTCAGAGATGGGGAGGGATTTGAAACGGGCGGTTATTGTTGACGACAACCCGAATTCTTATGAGAAGCAACCCGATAATGCGATTCCGATCCCGCCATTCATCGACGATCTTCGTGACCAAGAGCTCCGAAAGCTGATGAGGTTTTTCAGGGCATCTGATTACTTTGATGATATGAGGACTGCCGTGAAATACTACCTTGCCGAGGAAGAATGTGCTCTGGAGTACTGAAAGAACTTCAAATTGTTTGTGTTTTTAGAATTCTTGCTTATGCTGTATCGAGAAAAAAGAGAGAATTCTTTTATTCTTTGCTCAAGGTTGAAGAGTTGAACAGTGAGATGTTCAATGTGGAAATGAAACAAGTAGGGATCGATGTTGTATTACTAAATTCATTTATTCAATATTAGGTGCTAATTTAGTTGAAGTACATTTTCATCCCAAAAAAAGGGTACGGCAGAGGAGAAATTTGGCCCTTCTTTCCTTCTTTCATTCATTTTTTTTAATTCTATAGTGAAGGTAAAGATCTTGACATTGTGCTCCTAAATGTCAAATGACATTCATGTCCGTTTCATTATATCTGACTCTATTCAAATCTAAGGGTTTTTTTTTTTTTTAAGAATAAAATGTTACTCCTTGTATTAGTGGATTCGAACCCATAACCTTAGGGTTGACATCAATGACATTTACCACTTGAATATTTGATTTACCCTAAATCTAAGAGTTTTAAATGCTTGTTTTAGACCTAAGGCCCGCTTGGTATTATCGCTAGAAAATAGAAAGTTTCGTAATGTCATTGTTTTCACTTGGGCATCTTCGCATAGAAGCAGTGTACGTAATGTCATTGTTTTTCTTTTTCTTTTTCTTGAATTTCAAGCGACAAGTCGAAACTGGAAGTTTGAAGAGACTAAGCAAAAGATAAGAAAATTATCATGAAAAATGATATCAGAACCCCCATTACAAGCATTCTTTGCTAAGATCATCCTTCACGTTGGATAGGCGGTTCCTTATGTCATTTATAATACCCCATAACATAACAATAATCACATTTCAAATTGCAATGCTGTTTCCAAAAATTTGCATTAAGCGGTTGCTCGAAAAATGAGCCGTATAGGCATAATTAACTCATTTTGGAGCCTTGTAAATTATAATGGCTGTTTTTCACCATAACATTATTATATGTACTCTATGTATATTTTGGTAAACTATAACATCACTATGTTATATGTGTGCGTTACTCATTTTCGCACCATCAAGTACCCAGTTTACAATACTCTCTCCAAGACAAATCTAAATTTCTGAGGTCGAGATCTTTATAAAATTCTGCATGCCATCTTGACGCAGCCTAGCAACTGATTCCTCTCAATTCTCGGCAAGATAACACAAATTTGTCCTCCCTCATTATCCGGGAAGACATTTCATGGATGAAAGAGGGTTGCTATTTCACATTATTTTCAGAACCACCACTGAGCAGCGCAGACAAGTAAACCATTCATAGACTCAAAGACAACGCAGTAAACATCTAAGCATCCTCAAAATATACAGACACTTTCGAATCCAAACATGAAGGATGTCAGCAGCTTATAAGAAGTTTTTAATTCCACCAGCACAATGTTACAGAACTCCAGCTACACAAAAATGGATCTAAATTGAACTTCCATTTCACAAATGGAATGGATCCACAAGCTCTGAACCTTAAGACGAAAAATCTCCAGTCTAACGATTCTCAATTCGCCATTGAGATTCTAATCACAAAAGCCATGGTTCAAATTGAATAGCATCCAAAGATTCATTCGGTACATAACAACATCAAGTACATCACTGATCTTGTCTCTAACGCTAAATCATATCCAGTCAGAGAAACCCAAAACCAGAAAGTCAAACCAAAAGGAACTCCAACAATCACTTGCAGAAATGGGGCGTCACAGATCTTGGCCCTAAAAGATCCAAAGTGAACAGATCCTCACCAGATCAACCGCAAGAGAAAACCTCCGGAGGCAACCTCCAAGCCTCGTTTCTGCTGAAGCACATGTCGTCTAGGACCTCGCTGCTACACCAACTACACTTGGAGTTCTTTGAGCATTGGGATTGCACCACCAGCTCACCGCAGTTGAGGGGTTGGGCCGCCCTCGACCCAAATAGGCGGCGCGTAGAGTTATCCTCCGGCATTCCACGGCCATATCGGGAGTATCCATGAGAGGGTTGGTAGAGAGAAGCGAGAATAAAGAAGGTGACGGGGAGCAAAATCGACGTCTTGAAGATGAGATGAGAGAACGCCATGGATGAAATGAAAGGGTCAAGATTCGAACTTGATTTCTCGGCTTTGCAGAAATATATTATAATCTTGGTGATGAACTCACCTCGGAAAGCGCAAAGACAAGCCCGTTTCGACAGTGTGCGGTCCAAACACGCATCATTTTCTCCCGGGTGGGAGAGGGAAAAGCCATTTCTCAAGGACAAAACGGCATCGTTTGCATGTTATATTTTTGGGCTCGTGCCGGCTGCAAGTTTCATCCATTTCTTTCCATATTTTGAACTACCCTGCCTTTTATTTAAAGATTTAAAGGGAAAATAAGTTTTGAAATTTTTTTGTGAGGAGTATGTGATATTTTAAACTTTTATTTAAAACAATATTACTTTAAAACTTTAAAAAATGGAGCAATTTCAACTAATTATTAACTTTTAATAACATTAAATGTTAAGTTTTTCTTATTTAACAAAAGTTTGACACGTGGCAAATTTTAAGAAGTTTCTACATTTCTCCCAATCCCACCTTCTATGACTTATCCATTTAGAGTTTTAGACTCACTAGCAAACCCTTCTTCTTCCTCTTCCTCTTCCTCTCTCTGTCCACTTCTCCACCATTTAGAACCTTTTGCTTGACCATTATCGTTGTTGAATGTCAATAAACATGAAAAGAAGATGGTCAATTAGTTCTCGACAATGTCAAGTGAGAGATTTATAGTATGGGCAGTTCAAGCATTTGATGAGTGATGAGCTCCTGTAACATCCCAAATTTAATTTTAGGATTTTAATTAATTAATTAATTAATAATGTTAGTCAAGAGTTAATTAATGGGTTAAGACGACTATCTAGGCCTATTGGGCCCCCAAAAGGGCTTAGGTTAAGGCTTTTGGGGTAAGTTGAACCCATAATTTGAGTTTAAGTTAAGCTGCCTATTTTGAGCTATTCACTGCATTTGCTTCTTTTTTTGGTTCAAATTCATGGCAAAGTGGTAGTCCAAATTAGTGGGCAAGCTATAGCTTTTAGAGTGACTTAAACAGGTTGTTTAAGATTTAGTTGTTGTCTTTACACCTAGGCTTTCATGGTTGGCAGCATTAAATATCATTAAAGAGGGATTTAGAGTAAACCTATTGCTAGATAATTAAGTTTAAGCTAATAAGAGTTAATGACAATGATTTTTAGGCTTAATGGGAGTTAAATAAACTAATAGAAGTTAGTTTTGGGACTAGATATGATTAATTACTCTTAGTGAAGGATTGGGCCTTAATTGTGATTAAGGGTTCATTAATAACAATCAGTCATTAATATTTTTTTGTGAATATGGTTGTAGATTGATTGTGCATGGAGCATATGTTTGGAGTAGCTCTCTCGAGAAATCCAATTTTAACTCTCAAAGTGGTAGCCCAAGAGTGGAGGTAATCAAAAACCTTATAATTGCATATAATTATGTTTACAACCATATTTAAATTGTGATATGGATTTGTGCTAGTAAATGCATAATATGGATTTATTATGAGACTGTAAGTATATGATTGTTGCTAAATGATAATATGTTTATAGGAATACTTGTTGAGTGAACAATTTAATTAAGATGCTATGTGATATGAAGTATGAACTATAGTCTTGGATGGGCTATGAATCAGCGATGTGGTTCATGTGCTAAAATGCAAGATTATTATAGCTATATGAATTGGATGATAGCATGACAAATTGTATAATTATGATTGCATAACTTGGATGGTATATAGGTATTGATGCTATATATGTAAGGTCTCCCTTATTATTCTCCAACTAACTACAAATTCAAGGTAATCAAGGAAAAATCCCAAAAAGATCACCAAGTGTATAAGTTTCACAAAATAGAGATTTTAAATTTTCAAAATTAAAACATGACAATATATCTTTACAATTTAAAAATCAAAGTAATTAGATGTATGCAGAAATATGAGATCTTTTACCAGTTAAAACATTTGCATAATAAATATTAACAAAATAGTGATGAAAATAGACAATGTGTCCAGCTTTTGATACGTGTGCCAAGGCACGTTGCCTTGGTCCCATGCACCACAGTGCATTATACACTTTTGATAGCATTGTTGTTGTCATGTGACAGCAACTGGGGAAAACTTTTGACAAGCTCCATTTCTCCGTTCGATGTCTAATTAAAGTGATTTATGTGTCCACAAAGAGCTTTCTCCCAATTTTAGTTAATAGCACTAATTTCATAATTAAATTATTTTTTTAGTAAAAAATTGGGCACCTAGTACACAATTCACCCTTTTTCAAAATTCAAACATATCTTAAGTAGAACCATCAATTAGAATCAAGCCCATTAAGCTCAAAAAAAATCTAGGATTGAACCTCTTCTTTAAGCTATAAAATGGCAAGTTGGGCTTAAAAGGGCTGGGCAACCTTTTAAGCCCTCTTATATTTTTTTTTAAATTTAATATAAAAATAAACACTTCAAAACTAAATGTTATATGTAATAACTGATAAAGCTCAACAAGGGGAAGGATCAAATTATATTGATATTGATGATGATAAAAATTATTAAGATTTAGTTGATGATGCTAGTAAAGTTTAATTATTATTAGTGTCAATTTTTGTGATGTTGCTACTTTTGATTTGATTTAAATTTATTATTGTGTGTATTGTCTTAAATTTATTATGTAGATTTGATGTTATGTGTAATGACTTTTTAGGATTTTAAATATATTTTTTAGAATATTAAATTAAAAAAATAATATATATATATATATATAGGGCTAAAGCCTTGAGAGTTAGGGCTGAGCCAACTAAAATAGAACCCTAATGTGAAATCAAACTTTATAGGGCCAGATTGTTAGGCCCTAGCCCTTTAAGGGCCGGCCTTTTAAGTGTCTTAATTTCATACTAAGTGACAAAAGTCATAAATACACCTTAGACTATGCTTAATAGATTGTTATGGACTTGTGCAATATACCACATTATAAATTTAATACCTTAAATATATTTTCAATACTTAACCCTTAAACACAAAAAATAGAAGGGAGAGTCATAATTTCATCCATCACTGTACCAAGTCAACATAAATTATATATTTGCTCACCACTCACTTGCACTAATATTTTGGTCTTCTAATAAAATTCATAATGGATACATGTACAATTCTAAGGGCCCAAAATACACAACATAATTCAACAA